GATTTTTTTGCACCCTCAGATTCCAGATTTTCAAATAGTTGTATCTCGGCCAAATATTGTCCTATCCTAACAAAGCATATTTATTCAGCTTTCAGATGATGTATAAATCTCAATTTCAAAAAATGGACCCTTATGACTGGTTTTGTGCTCCAGGGTCACATATTAACATAGAAAACAGCTATTTTGAATATTAGTAAAAAAGGATTGGAGGGACTTCTTCTCCTGAACATCTCACTCTTTCTCCACCAGTTTCATTCAGGTTTTGTCGCTTTCATCTTTTTCCTTATTTCCATCTATTTCGTCTCTCTCCTCTTCAATTTCGCACAGGCTCACTAATGTCTGTCTTTGTGTGAATCTCTCTCATGCCGTCACACACGCTCACTGCCTCTCTTATGTCCCTCGTGGTGCTGCTGAAAAATTGATTCTGACAAGCAAAAAACAAGATATTGTTAATTTTACATCAGCTTGACTGGCCATCACGTATGCTTCAGGATCGAATGCGGTTGATATAACAGAAACAGCTTGCTTTATTAATGTGTAGATGTCATGAGCTGAAGCTCTCAGGTTAACAGCTTGTTTCTGTCACACTAGTGTATATTATTCCATTATTCATGTATCTGTGAACCCATTAGTCCCTGCTGTTGTGTGAGACATGCGGATGAGAACTAGCTAACATTTTCTCATGTCTTTTTCATTAAGCATGTGTGAATAACTAATAGTAGCAATTTTGTCAGGTGGCCAAAGCCCTTAAAGTGATAGCTCACCCAAAAATGAAAAGAAAAACAACTGTTATTTTAGGGCTGGACAATAATTCAATATCAATATGTATCGCGAGAATTCTCTTCTGCTCACCAAGGCTGCATTTATTTGATCCAAAACAGTAAAATTTTTAATTTAAATCTTCAGAAATCATTCTAATATGCTGATTTGCGGATTATCAATATTTTAAACAGTTGAGAACATTTTTTTTCAGGACTCTTTGATAAATAGAATGATCCAAAGATAAAATAAAAAGCTTTTATAACATTATGCACTATTCCATTCAAAAGCTTGGAGTCAGTATAATTTTTTTTTGGGAAATAAATTATAGAAATTTTATTTAGCGCTGCAATTTTATTTTATTTATAATTATATACACACACACACACACACACATATATATATATATATATATACACACATACTGCCAGTCAAAGGTTTTTGAACAGTAAGATTTTTAATGTTTTGTAAAGAATTCTCTTCTGCTCACCAAGCCTGCATTTATTTGATCCAAACTACAGCAAAAACAGTAACATTATGAATTATTTTTACTATTTAAAATAACTGCTTTGAAATAAATTATAGAAATTTTATTTAGCGCTGCAATTTTATTTTATTTATACTACTTTTATTTAGCAAGGGTGCTTTAAATTGATCAAAAAGATTATAACGTTACAAAATATTTCTATTTCAGATAAATGCTGTTCTTCTGAACTTTCTATTCATCAAAGAAACCTGAAAGAATTCTACTCATTTGTTTTCAACATAATAATAAATGTTTTTGAGCAGCAAATCAGAATATCAGAATTATTTCTGAAGGATCGTGTGACTGGAGTAATGATGCTAAACATTCAGCTCTGAAATCACAGGAATAAATTACATTTTAAACTATTCTCAAATAGAAAACAGTTATTTTAAATAGTAAAAATATTTCAAAATGTTACTGTTTTTGCTGTATTTTGGATCAAATAAATGCAGGCTTGGTGACTTTTGACTGGTAGTGTGTATGTCAGCCTATAATTTGATATAAGGTGAACATTCATTTATTTGTGCTGTTTTTTTTTCTTAAATATTATATAGTTTTATAGGAGGAGGTTTCATAGACTTGGAAAATTAATTTTTCAGAAGTTTGTAGGTACAGACATCTGTTGTAGGTGTTCTTGGCAGTTTTTATGAGGCTTTTTTTTAATAGTCTTCATATCGATATCGGAATTATATCGTATCGACCGAAATTAAGAAATATATCGTGATATAAATTTTGGCCATATCGTCCAGCCCTAATCTTGGATGGCTTGAGTTTACGTACATATTCAGCAAATTTTATTTTTTTGGTGAACTATCCCTTTAATGCAGTTTTAATTTATTTTAATTTCTCTGTCAGGTTATCACAAATAGCACTAATGAAGATCTGAAGAAAGATGCGATAAAAAATGCACAGAAAGGTAAAACATGCATATTGTTGCGCTTTATAAAAGGATGTATCCAACTGTGTGGTATGATTTATAGATCTAATAAACGGTGTCGTAGATAAAGGAATTCAGGTGGAGGCGAAGGTGAACGGTGATTGGTTCACGGGTCGTGTTACCGCAGTAGAGACGGGAAAGGAGAACGTACGCTGGAAGGTCAAGTTCGACTATGTTCCCATGAACACTCCAAGAGACCGCTGGTACATGCACAAACATACAAATAAACAGATCTGTTCTGTTTCATTGCAACCTCAAAATGTTTTGTATACAGCAAATGTTTAATTTGTGTTTGATTGTTTTCAGGGTGTTTAAGGGCAGCGATGACGTCCGTCTTATGCGTCCCGCCTCTCCAGAGTCCCGAAGTCCAGACACCAATCAGGGTCCAGCACGGTCTGTAACTCCGCCCACCGCTGCGGAGCCTGACACGACTCAGAGCGGGCCGAGCAGAGAGACCACAGAAGGCCTTGTGACCATGATGAGGTGTGTTTGTGGTTTCTTATGTTAATAGTATGTGCATTTTGTGTGCATTTCAACCCTTCGTTCATGGTTTGTTTGGCACAGGACGTTGCTACGGTACTTTTTCCCTCCGGATTTCCGAATCCCTAAAGATTCTGTGAACACTATGAGTGCGGAGGACCTCGTGGCCTTTCCCATCGTGAGTACAGACCATCGTTGCTGCGACACAGAAGCCTTCAAAGATATATCAATTCTAAATTGTTTGAGTGCTTACACATATTAATTGAACTGCATTAATTATTCATTGTAAATTGCAGAAAGAGTATTTCCAGCAGTATGAGGCCGGACTGCAGAGTCTGTGTAATTCCTACCAAACTCGGGCGGAGTCACGGGCCCGAGCCGTGGAGGAGAAGAGCAGCGGGGCAGAAACCAAACTTCGGGAATCTGAGGAGAAACTCCGCAAACTCAGAACCAACATCGTCGCTCTTCTGCAGAAAGTCCAGGAGG